AATGACTTGGACAGTGAGATAGAGTGCACCCTCAGCAAGTTTGCAGATGACACCAAGCTGAGTGGTGCGGTTGACACACCAGAAGGCCGGGATGTCATCCAGAGGGACCTGGACAGTACTGTCAAAGACAGGTGGGTTTTCATTCATGAGCCATTAACATGCTTGAACTGTCCCAGGGTAAAGACAGTGTGAAGGTGAGATACTGCAGTTTCACCACAAGACAAGATCACCAGTGTTACACTGTACTTCAAACTCACATTGCCTGACTGATTGGAAAAAAAAATTAAACCATGTCTTCCCAGCAGTTTTGCTTTAAGGCAAGGCAATATGTTAGTTGCTCCAAGTGACAAACACATACCTTTTGAGCAGCGAGCCCAAGGCTAATACGTCTGAAAGGTTTCAGAAGAGATACACATAGAGAATCATTGCAGCACATCTCAGGTGATAATATATCCTTCTCTAATCCTTGAACTCTGTTGCTTCAGAAGTGTTTTCACAGAGATGAGGAAGGTGGAATTGTCACCTCAGAAGGGTTGCAATGGTCTGTTGTTCCTAAACCTGGCATCTTCCAACCTTACAATCAGCACCTGTTTGAGGCACTCAAGTTAGGGATGGAGCTGCTTTGGGTTCACTGAAGAACCAGGAGAGGGAAATGGGCAGCTGGCGATCTTGCTCTCTGCATGGCTCTCTTGTAAGTGCTTTTCTCTTCCAATTTGCCTCTATGGGGTGAGTAGAGAACATCAGTTAAGTGTCTAAAATTAAATGTAAGAAAAGCAAACAAAGCTTTGAATGGATTCCAGTCCCCCTAAACAAGAGGGCTCCATATTATAATCTGTCCATTCTTTCTGGATTGGCGGTTCTCTAAAATTACCTCTATGTTATCCCCAGGGCCAGAAGGTCAACGAACCAGTGAAGTGGCAGTGTTGAAAGAAGTTTAGGGAAACACAGTCAGTTTGCACCTTTTTGCCAAAACGATGATTTTTTCCTAAATTAAAAGTAAGAGAAACTGTGAGACTTTCTTACCAAGTAATTTCAAACTAAAATAAAAAGAAAAAGAAAAAAATGAGTTTGTGGAGAAGTTGTGGGTTGTGGCTAATGACATAACAAGACATTACTTCCTTCAGACACAGTTGTATTGTTATTGCTAACTTCTGAAATTGTATTGGAACTGTATGTTTGTTGGCAACTGTGAAATTTCTGCCTTTGGGGGAATAACCTGTGGTATTTACTTCTGAGAAAAGAAAGGTGAGTGAAAGAAATCACTTTTTAAAAAAGAAAATTATCTTGTTTCCCCTGTATTCTAACCGCACGCTATTGTGAGCAATGTCTGTGTGCTTTAGTGATTCCCAAATCCTTTCTCTTTCCTTGCCTTAATTCAAACTGAAGATCTGAATCTGATAAAATTTATCCCCTTTCCTGTGATGGCAGATGCAAAAGGTGTCATTGCCTGCTCTAGCTTTAACAGCTAGAGTAAAATCAACACCTCTGTCCTGTACCAATGAAAACAGTGGGAGTTTTTCCAATCACCTGTGTAGGCATTAAATGGTGATTAGGATCCACATGTATCCCAGGCTGGCCCCTGGTCTAACCTCTCTTTCCAAAACCATCCCTGTGACCTATGTATCTTCTAGTACTATGCTGAAATCATGGCAATATCTTATTTCTAACTCCATGTAGAATCAAACAAAACAAAATCCTGTATAAAACAGAGAGCAGCACTAACTAAAAGTGAGTCTGTCCAGGTCTGGAAACCATCTAGCTTTATAACATGGTGCTCTGCTTGGTCTAAACACTGTTGAGGGCACTGGGGAAGGCTGAACAACAGAGGGCTGAGGAGCTGAGAAGTGAGCTTTGCCTCGTGGAGCTGTTCGATAAGTAACAGGGAGAAATTCTGCTTGCCTAAAAGACCTGAAATGGTTATGAGTTTGAAGTGCTATGTAAGAAATTAAATTTCTTGAACATTTTTGGGCTTCAAATGCTTACAAATATCTTAAGAGTGGATGTCATGAGGATGGAGCCAGACTCTTCTCAGTGGTACCCAGCGATAGGACAAGGGGCAATGGGCACAAACTGAAGCATAAGAGGTTTCAGTTGAATCTGAGGAAGAACTTCTTTACCTTGAGGGTGACAGAGCACTGGAACAGGCTGCCCAGGGGGGTTGTGGAGCCTCCTTCTTTGGAGATATTCAAAACCTGCCTGGATGATGTCCTGTGCAACCTGCTCTGGGTGAAGCTGCTTTAGCAGGAGGGTTGGACTGGATTATCTCCCGAGGTCCCTTCCAACCCCTGCCATTCTGGGATTCTGTGGTTCTGTGATTCTGTGATTTTCTTCACTGAAGCTCAGTTCCTGAGATATGGTATATACAGCTGGATTAATAAAAGGACTAGGTGTTTATGCATAAACTGAGAACAAGTCTAGTTTAGTATTGTGTATAGGCTGACTGTCTAAAAAAAAGTGCAGGAAATTCACCAGCTTCACTGGAACTCACCTGCATCGTTTGGGTTTAAACACAACAAGAACTGAAAAAGTGCAAATTCAAGGAAACTCAAGTTTCATCTTTCCATAATTCTGCAGAATGAAGTTTCTCACCGGCCTTTCAAAGGACTCAGAAATGCACATTCTTATGTTGTTTGGATTTCAACAATGCCCTCAGGCGTCCTCACACAAATGGGGTCCTGTTTTGTCTGGTATTGAAGAACCTCACAGGAAGGTGTAGCTAATATACTGCGTTGCTCTGTCTGTCCAGTCTGTAATTAACTGTTCAACTCATCTACTAACACTTATTGAATCAACATGTTCACTGATTCCCACATGTTTCTAGAATTGCCAGATTGCAGCAATGGTTGTGTGAAAGAAATCCGAAAAGAAAATGAAGCCAAATGTCCTTCTGAGCTCATTATCAAATCTCAGAGTAACTCTAAAATCTCTAACAGCCACCAGAAAAAATGATGTCATAACGATGTTCTAGTGTCCCTTTACTAGCTCTTTGTAGCTACTTATAAGATTTCAGAATGATGCATCATCATTACCTATTCTTTAGATTTCAGAAGAATCCACAACGTGCTAAATGCTTCTACAGTACAGGTGAAAACACAGTCCTCAGCCAAAAAAGGGAAAGGTCTAAGAAAAGAGAAGATGAAGAAGGAAATAGAGGGAGATATTTTACTTATTCTTAGATAGCTCTACTTACTACTTAGACAATTTTTTTTGCTTTCACAAAGAATCTCAGATACAGTTTCACTGGGCTCTTTTTCACTTACATTCAATCTCGTTTTTCAACTCGTGTTCACTCATGGGATAAATGAGACCGATAAGCAAAATGGATTAAATAGCATGGTCTGAACTCCACTGAAATCAATAAAAGACTTTCTGCTAACTTCAGTCGGCTACAGACTATGCTTTAATCAGCCAGGTGCGTTTAGGTATCACCATTTCCTTTAAATTAATTTTAAATGCAGATAAAGAAAATTATCATAATTGGCCCAGATTCTATTTCTGGGACATCCAATCTTGGAACACTACAGCCTGAAATACCTCCCTAAAATAAGATGAGCTTTTTGTGCATGGGAGAGAAATGGGAGTCAGACAAGCATATAGCTCTGCTTATACTGCTGAATTTTGTTCAATAATATTAGCTATCCATGCCTCTGATTTCTTCAGACTATAAACTGCTTGTCCCCATATGCTTCTAAAGCAATCAGCACTTTACCGACACTTTGAATTATTATTATTATTGTTGTTATTAATATTAACTCCAAATGGTGGTGAGACAAATTGGGTGTCCTTCACACGGAAAGCGAGGCATATGTTTAGACTGTCATCAGTGGGACCTTTTGCTGTGTTTGTGATTTGAAGTGTACTGCTGATACCAGCACAAATACCAATACCAATACTGCTGATAATTGTGATGGCCCAGTGTCCCGTCTGGCAAGTGAGAGCAGAGCTTAGCTCTGCACCTAGGATTGCACATTATTTAATGTGTATTATTTCATGCACTATGCGAGGCTCTAAAATTGTAACTGAACTGTATGAAGAACATGTCCTTCATCTCCGAGTGCATTCTGATTCTGCAGAAACCCCCCTAAAAGAGAGGAAGAAATTTTAACATTCTTAGGACTAAGTGAATTTCTGAATGAATACAATGAGTAGAAAATGCAGGACATCCTCTCTTCTTCTCACTGGCTAAAAAAAGAGTCAGAAACTTAAATAGATTGGATGTTTGACAACTTCCTTCCATGGCTGGAAATACTGTAGCCCAGTCACTCCACTGATTTAGGTCTGTTTCCTCAGAAACATCAGGGGGAACAGGCATACGTGCCTGCAGTCCTTCTGAAATCTGAATCATGTCTGACAGATTTTCCCCTGAACCAAAAGGTATACAAGCATGCTAGGCTTCAAAGATCTTATTTCCTTTCTTCCTTAAGGAAACAGGATGCCACCAATCTCTCTTTTTTCCTTTTCAGCTTGATCATCTTCATTTTGTGCACCAACAATGATATTTTTCCTCATTCTACTTCTAGAACAAAAAATTCCTGTATGAGTTCGTTTCAAACCATGGCCAGGATGAGTGATGGATTCTCATACTGCCAGTGACATACATAGACTCACATACCTATTAAATGCCATACTAAAATCCTACAAATAACAGTTTTTCCTTCTTGTCACTCATAAGACCAACAACTATGATTTTGCATGGGGAAGTGTAAGTATATTTCCTCCTCTAATTTGTGTGCCTCATCTCCTTTCGCTGTGATGGGGCAGGCACAAAAGCCTGAAAGTACAATATAGTCCCATTTGCACTCTCTTCTGTCCTGCTCTACAAAAGCACCTTGAATATTGTCTCTATCTAATCTGAGGATCTTTCCACAGCTGGAAAACTATGACCCTCAGAGAGGGAAAGAAATGGAATGTACTATACGTGGAATATAGGGGATAGAACAATATTAGCACACAGTGACTGTTAGCATCCTTGCCCTCTGGAATAGATAGTGTCAATGTCTATCAGGGGATGGTGGGTGTGCAGATGACGGTTCAGGCTTATGTGCATAAGCCGCCTTTTACTCCATGATTCAGCCCCACCTCTGGCCTGCCAGTGTGGCTGTGGCTGCAATTTCTGACACATCCTTCCCCTTAGATGATTTTCCTGTGTGAGGTCAGACTGCTTCTGCTCAAAAAGACCTCTCAGAGAGACGCCTTCACTCTTTCTGGAGTCCCAGTTTTGCCTATATTTGCTCTTAAAATCCTCACAAACTGTAATAAAGGACAGCAATTTCCACAAAAACTTGTGCGTGCAGGAGGCCACTTGGAAACAGGAGGCAGTGTCATTTTTATCTCTACCAAGCGCTGCAGTCTCATACGGGCTCCAGTTAGTCTCTGTCACTGCAAGGAGATTGCTGACAACCATTCAGTAAATTTATGCTCAAATAGAAGATGCCACTGGAGTTGCTGGGGCTTCTTCATGGTAGGTCTGGTGGTCAGTCTCTGATTTGTCCTTTGATGAGACAAACCAGCTCCAGACAGAATCCGATCTGTAACTGTTCAAGGCCTGCAAAGGGAAATCCTCCCACAGCTTCTTGATCACTACTTCTTAGGCTACAAGTGTTGTCTCTAACAGCAGCGAAGGAACTGTTGTGCTAAACAGCATGGTATTAAACAGAAGTTTATTATTTAAAGATGCCTGTGTTGCAAGCTGCAGGCAAGGGTTTTGCCAGTCGTATCTGGTGTTCCCATGATCCAGCAGCAATATAACCCTGTAGAGACACATCCCATAGACGAGTATTGAACTACCCACTACCATGTGCTTTCTTAATGAAACATTAGGACCTTTGGGACTTGACAAGTTTCATCCATGATTACTTCAGCACAGGTAGTATGAAGAAAGCAAGCCGAAAGACAGGAATATGTTTTGATATTTATTTTAATTCCATAATAACATATCTGTTCTAATTAGAGAGATACCTTCCAGGCAGATGTTCAAATCATGTGGGAATTGGTATGCCAAATGCAAGATTAATGGGCTCACATGCTAATGAAGCACTCTTTCGCTTTCCATGCCAGAGAATAAAAACACCAGCCCTTCAATGGTGAAGCTGAAGCCTCATCCTTCCTTAGCTGCAAAGGTTTACTCCTGTGGGATTCTTCAGAGACTATTTCACTTATTCATCAAACAATCCTTTTAGCTTTATCTTTTTCATGCTATAGTAAAGGGCTTAGCCCTTTTCTCCTCACATAGGCAAAACTCATAACTTGCATGTCTAGGGTGTACAGTACCATCGCTCCGTGAAGCATTTTCATCCTGCTCCTGATGAGGCACTAAACAGAAAAACTTCCCCTAAACAAATGAGTACTGGCTTGGTTATAAGAAATGACATTTCAGTCTGCCCCAGATAATAGACCAAGAGTCAATTTAGTGTCAAAAAATAGCAAGTTGCCTGAATATGTGAAAGGTTTTTGGTTTTGTTTTCTTTCAATGGGAGGCAAGCTGACTGAGATTCTATCTCCACCATGAAAAAGGCCTTTATTTTGTGTTATTAAATGAAAGCTGAGCTTATCACTGACATCACAGACTAGTCCTAATGGCTTTTACAATGGCCCTAATGGCCAGCCTGAGAGACTCCCTGGGCCGCGTTCTCAGGCTGTATAAACTAATGAACAACCGGACCCTCCATTTTTAGTACTTCCTTTCCCCCATGTGTCATTCTCCACCCAGTACTGGGCTACAGCATATGGTTGTTTCCTGTGTCTGAGTTCTGGCTTCACTATTTTAATATGATTAATCAATTTTATACAAGTTCCTGCTTGAAATCCCAAACCTCTAGGTCCAGAAGGTCAGGTTCAAGGCGTTCATGAGTACAGCCTGAACTTTTCTCCCATCTTTGTCTACACTTGTATGTATGACTGTGCCTGAGGGTGATTTAGGAATTCCCTTCACCAGCTTATCATTGGTTTTTGTAGAACCCAAATTACCTTCATTTTCTTTGAATTTTATGGAAAGGAAATAAAACATAATAAAATATTGTTCCCAAAAGGGCAGTTGTGTAGTATAATCTGCATTTCTCTTCTATTTCAGGCTGCCTCAAGAGGACAGTCTGTTGCCAAGGTTATACAGCTATAATCATCATGTATTTATGCAAAATAAGAACTATGTAATAGTGCAACATTAAACATGACGAGATTATTAAAAGTAAAATACAGATGAACATAAGCCTTTTCTTCTACTTCCTTTTATAGGAGTTTGAACCAAAGCTTTAGTCAAACACCTGCATATATCCATTTCTTCGTTATTTTACCAGTCTCAATAGACTAAGACAATTAATGTCTCTGTACATTTGTTAAATACATGACTTTTAGGTCACAAAATGTTCTTCATGAGAAATTGTCTTTTCCAATAAGCTCTAAAGGATCTGTATTTTGTAAACACAAGTGCTAAAGCACTGGAGGGTTTATAGCTGGAACCAGCCACTCCACAACTATTAGCTATTTGGATGTATTAACTGGTGTGTGTGGTATATCCTAACAAGCACCAAATGCTCTTAGCTCCCAATCAGTCACAGAGCTGAGCCCTGGATTGTTATCTTAAGCCCTAAAAGTCCTTCCTGTATGGGGCAGGATAAGGATCAGACTGCCAGATTCACTGGTTCCCATCTATCCTGGCTCCAGGGACTGGGGAACACCCCTCTCTGCTCTCCAATTTGGGATGTGGACAGAGGTCCACACCACTTTTTTGTAGATACAACGGAGGGTGATTCTGCTGCCTTGCCCATGTAGGAACATAGCAACATGTAGGAACTCAAGGCCATCTCCAGATTTACACAGTTTTACCATGTTGCAGAACATCAGAACAGATGCTCTGGATCAGGTCCAAGCCTGTCCAGCCTGGTATCCCACCTCTGGCAGTGATGAGGTGAGTGCCTGGGGAAGTACAGAGGAAGGTGGAGGCATACACTGGTATTTCCCTGGACAGCCTCGGCTAGTTAAACCTCAGGGGCTTCCTGTGCCAAGTTTGCTTTTTAGGTGTTTCCACTCATCGATTTATCTTCCCTGTTCATTCTCCACTTGAATCTAAGTGAGCTTTGAGCACCCATAACATCCTGTAGCAGCAAGTTCCCCACCTTAGTTACGCACAATGTGAAAAAATATTTCCTTTTGTTTGTATTCAGCTTACATCTTGCTCATTTTGGTGAGCCACTGGGATGAAATGGTACCATCCTTATGTATCATCTCAAGACCACTCGTAATTTCATGAGCATTTTGCCTACCCTTTTAGAATCGTTCCCTTTCCACAGCAATGTCACCTGATTTATTTAGTCCTTGCCTCTGTGGAAGCCTTTGGGTTGTCCTTGTTATTCCTTTTCTAGTTTTCTGGCACCTATTTTGAGATGGGGAGGTTCAGAACTGCCTGTATAAGGAGGATATAAAATCTTCCATGCCTCGATGTTCCTGACAACAGAAAGCAAGGAATCAGCCCTTGCACAAGTCCCAACATCTTCATACAGGTTCTATCAGAATTTGTTATCTTACATTCCCAAAAGCAGTAGTTGGGCAACAGATTTGGTTGCCTTTCAGTCAGGTGTAACATGATTCCTGAACGTATATTACTCCACACACCCAAGAAACCAGGCTGAGATTCCACATTATAATTTTTCAAGTTGCAAAGCTAGTTTAAAAGCAGCCTTCCCCTCCTATGTTGGTACTCAGATGTGGCAATTAACTGTCTGGGCGACCATACTCAAAACTGGTTCAGTGAAATGATCTAAGCTAACAGACACTCTCTCCCACCCTTCCTCAAGTGTTGCTTTTCTTTGTTTATTAACCTGCATCACTCCAGCTGTCAGCAGCGATACCAAGGAATGAATTAGCCTTGCTGAAGGACTGATAAGCTTCCCCCACCAGAGGTGGGGAAGCAGAGAAAGGAATGAGCAGGTGAGAGCAAAAAGGGGATGAAACTTCTTAAATTGGCTTTCCACCAGCAAAAATCCTCATGTGAAACCATGGTCTTAGAGGTGATGAGTAGCTGCACTGATTTCATCAGCTGTGCTTTTCTCAGGGCTGGATTTTGCAGGTGGGAGGGATTTGGAGGGGTTTCCTGGGTTGAAAGGCTTATGTTTGTGCAAGCAATGATGCTCCAAATTGTTTGTGATTGCTCAGGGATAGGCCCACTACTTGAAACATCTGCTTTGCCACATAAACAACACACCATACTCTACCCTTCTTAAAAATAAAAATAAATGAACATTGAGAGAGAGAGCATAGAAGGATGGACAAAGAGGGGACCCTGACAAGCAGTGAATGTTGTTCCCGCGACTGGGACAGCAAGCAGAGTTTTCAAAGTACAAGTCAGGAGGTTTAAGAAGTGAAGACCGGAGAAAGTGAAATAGGAAAATGCAATTCCAAGCTGCCAGTGACATATTTAAATAGGTTCTGCCCTCCTTAAACTCCGGATTTGCTGCAGTTTACATCACTAATCCTCGCATTCCTGACATGCCAGTCAGGCCTCTTAAGGGGCACTTGGGCAGGGAGGTGGTCTGTGACTTGCCATTCCCTGGCGCGATAAGCAGAAAGTACTTGCACAGATATTGTATCCAATATGCCTTTACGGCCATCAGACAAACAGCAGCATGTTCTCAACCGAATACGCTCAGCCAGGTCTTCTCCCAGTGCCAGTCTGTTCATCACCTGATACCAGTTTACGCCAGGGAGGATCTGGCCAGATGCTTTTCCAGTACCCTCAGAAAGCCTTCAGTACAAAAGCAATGCTTTGGAGCATTTCATACCCAGAAGACAGTTGAGCTGTTTGCTGGCATTTTTAATGAAAATTTCTGTCATAATTTAATCCGGTTTTAAACCATTTTTAATTTTTTTTTTTTGTATTTGCATGTATATCATGAATTGCCTGTGCTTCTGAAATAAAAAGCCATGGAAGTGCTAGCTCATGATTTATTGCAGTGCAAAAGCTCTCAGTATAAACATGTACAGAATCAGTTTATCTATATGAATATTCATATGCTTATATCAAAAGAAATAAAAGCAAGAACACTTAACGATTGCCTTAACATCCCTTTATAACCTAGCAAGCTAAAGCCACAGTGAACTTTGATTTGTTAAGATATTTCAGTAACCAAACATTTTCCTTCCAAGCACATGTTCTTTGAGGAAATATATCAGGTTAAAAGAGTTTATGTTAAAAAAAGACATCTTAAGCAAAGGTTAAAAATTACACTATGAAAAATGAGATCTTTCTGGAGACCAGGTAACTAAATATCAGAGGAACATGTTATGTTCATGGAGAAAATCTGAGTTTTAAGTGAAACCAGAGGGGAATGGGTCACTCCGCGTGACCCTGCAGGCATGCTAAACAAGCCTAACTCCATTTCAGAATCCGTCATTGACTGCTGCAGGGAGGTGCTTGAAATGGGGCTGTGTAGCTCGATAGTATTGTTTTCCGTCTCCATTTTTCACTGGGAGCCCAGATGAAACCTCAACACAGAGAAAAATAAGTATTTCCACTTAGATTTTTTTTTTCTTCCTCTGGAGTCAACTATTTGAAGGTTTGGTGTTTTGATAAATCAGTGCAGCCACTGTACCTTACTATCTGCTCGTGCTGATTAGTTCAATTAGATCTAAAAGTCTGCATTAGATATTGTAGTTAATAGATTTTAAAGAATACATTTGGTCCTATGCATTTTAATAACTGTGTTTCTTTATACCTACATGTTTGTCACATTTATATTTTATTTTGATTTCTGTTTTTCAGTGGTTGATAACATTTATTTCTTCATTTTGAAAGTTTATTCTAGTTGCTTATTTGTTAGCTATTTGCTTTTTTTCCCCCTTCTGTTTTACGTCAAATCTGCCTGGAGTTTAAGGAAGGAATCTTTTAAAGGCAGTTTTTGTAGCTTGAAATAAATATTATATGTTAAACACTTATTTTATTTGTAGCCATCTGTGAGACTGAGGTAACACAATAAAACCGTATACAATACCTGTCTGCAGTTTTCAGGAGTTCGCTGTTAGCTTTGCCAAGATTTCAAGGATTTCACTCTTCTTCAATCTTATTGTTTTCAAATTGTTTTATGAATGCAATTAAAGACCAAAGGCACGTTTAACACATTGAAATGTTTCAAATTTAGAGGCACCCTGACATCGATCTCTGGTGTATTTGGTTTGTGGAGAAAAGTTGTGAAAAGCGAGTCAGACCAGCTAGCTGTTATTGTACACATGGGTGCATATATAACGCTGGATAGGAACTCTCATGGCCAAGCACAGAAGTTCAGTGGAGACAACTGCAGTAAAGGTAGTAACTGTATTTGGTTTAGGAGAGTCTCTGTAACAGAATTTAAAGAAGTTGTTGCAGCTGCAGTAAGGTATTAACTCAATGAAGGAATGGGATAAGACCAGAAAAAATCTGTCCAAGGGGTTCTCTCCCTGTGATAATTTGATTATTTGCTTTGAGTTCTTTGTGCTGTTATCCCAAGTCACTGCAAGCCACTTGTAGTATATGCCAAAAAAAAAAAAAAAAAAAAGCACTATGCACTAATTTGGATTCTGGTGACATAAAAAAATTGGGATCTGTCTTGTTTTCAACTCTGGCCCATGGATCCTAAAATCCTCCATCCAAAGCAGCCAAATGTCAGCTCTCATAAGAAAGCCAGTTGCCAGATGTTGGAACAATTGATGGCCCAGATGACAGAGGTCGCCATTTGTTTTGGGCAGCTGTCCTTCAGTGAGCCAGTGCCCCGGAGGACTGCAGGCAGATGCCAGATGGCTCCGGGTGGGTGCTCCGGCGGCCTCAGGGCCACGGGCTCCTGGCAGGGTCTGGGGGGATGCAGCAGATTCCCAGAAAGATATCAGCCAGGGGAGGTGGATTTAAATCAGAACCTCTGAAGTCAGCACAAGTTAATATAAATGGCTCTGAGGCTGAATATAACAATTATTGCTGCAAGGGGACCACAGCAGCAAAGTTAGGCTCCCGCAGAACATCTAAATACCCAAATCATTAAGCTTTCCTGTGACCTGTGTATCCTGGGTCAAATTCATATGGAGACTACAAAGCCCACAGGCTGAATTATATATTTGAGGACACAGCTAATCAGTCTCGCCTAATAAAACTACAAGAAAATGCATGCTCCAAGCTGACATCACCACAGACAAACTGCATGTAAAAGTGCACTGTAAAAGAATGAGTCTAGTGCTCTCCGGCCTCAAACTGGGATGACTGGAGGGGGATCTGATAGAGGAGCTGTAAAATCATTAGTAGAAAGGAGAAGGGGAATAGGGAGCAATTGGTCACTGTTTTTTCAATGTAAGAGCTAAGAATCATCAAAGGAAACCAGCAGGAACCCGATTCGTAATAAACAAAAGGAAAAACTCCCTCACCCGGGGCGGAGGTAACCTGTGGTACTGCTTGCTGCAGGATGGGGATGGGACTGGAGGTTTACGAGTGTTCAGAAATGGGTAAGTCCATGACAGGCAAATCTGTCAAGGGTGCCTGAACACGTGTTCTGAATTGCATGTTTCCTTTGTACTTATATTCTTTTCCAGGTTACTTATAGGCTCTGTCAGGTGCAGGCTGGTGAGCTTGGTACCTACTTGGCTGGGCCATTACAGCCATTCTCAGGTTCTCACCTTCAGCACTGTATAACCACAGAAATCTGGAGAGGGGACACTTTTTTTAAAAAAGGGTCCCTATGTGGTAGCTTATCCAGATTAGTTCAGTCTAAGGCAAATGTCAGAAGGCCTCATAACTATCTTGTGGCAAAAGCTTTTCAGAGGAGTGGTGATTTTCAGACTTGCTTTTTGGTTCTGCCCCACTCCCATCAGAAAAACAGGCTGTTATGGAATAAACATTAGCTCATAAATAATAGATTTTCTTTAGTTCATTATCTTTTGTGACTGCATAGAAGTAATCCATTGGCCATTAGAAACCTAAGGTTGAAAATCAGCAGTTACCAGCCTTGTGAGGTGGATTGCAGTCCTGGTCCCCATTCTTGGTTTCCTTTCTTTTCCTGGGTACAGCTATACAGCTTAGCAGTCATGTGCCATAATCTCATGCCTGCTGCATGGCAGTTTCCAAGGAAACTCACAGGCTGCACATGCTAGAAGTGATCCTGAGGGAATGTCAGCTACAATTACCTTGGTGGAGGCTTTGCTTGGCGTGGAAGCTTACCCACCGTAGAGGCTGGGTTTCCCTTCCCAGATTAGGAATTGAATGTTAGAATTTGTTTACAACAAAGCACATACCTTGTTTTCTAGACAGAGACTGGAAGGTAAGACTGCACAATAATTTCATTTCCTTAGTATATTTTTTTTTCAAACCATGGTCTGCCTACCTATTTCTTTAGCCTAATATCTCTGGTCTGTGAAAGCTTGATGTGCCTCATTTTCACTATTTTGTGAAGATTACTTTGTTTAAAATGGCAATAACCATGTGGGGAAAAAAGGGACTAGGAAAAAAAACCCATGAAGCTACCAGATGAATAAATCAACCTATTTCCCTGGGAAGCATAAACATTTGACAAAGGTTACTCTGCTAGAAAGAAAAAATGTAGTTTAAAAGATGAGACAAAGGTCCAATCTCCTAATGAGATAGGAGTAGCATCTCATATCTGCAAATTACGTGTATCCAGTACCATGTGAGTGTGTTGAAGGTTATCAGGCTGCAGCTTTGCAGCCTCTGAGATTAAGCCTGCCTATACTGCACAGCTCCCGTACACCCCAAAGAGCATGCGTTAGGTTTCAGGGATATTTGTGAAAGTGTCTGTCCATGTAGATACCATTCACCTACTCATTCGGCCTGAGGTTACACAGAACATGTATTTTGGGAGAAGATTGTACACTTGTATTTCTTCTTTTTCCCTTTTTTTTTTTTTTTTGTTTTGCTTTTGAAATGATGGGCAAACACTAATTTTGCCCCCGCCCCCCCCCCCCCAGTCAGAGATATAGCTGAACTATCAGGGACTGTGACAGAGAGAACAGAGTACATGTGTCTTCCTTCTGGCTTCCAAATACCGGAGGAATGTTTGAAAGGAACCAGCGTATCATTTGATAAAGGTTTTTATTGTCCTTCAAGAACTGAATCTCAGAGTGTAAAACATCAGCGTTTAAATCCAAACATTTCTTTCTGCTGTGTAATTTGGGACACTGAACAGAAAAGCTTAGGGTTGGTGAGGCAGTCAGGAACAGAAGGGAGAAGGTCAAAGCCTGTGCCTTCTTATTCTAAAACAGAAAAGTAACAAAAAGTAAATAACCCCAGCCAACTCCCCACTCCACATTAAAATATGCAGAAGAGAAAATAAATATTGGAAGAACAGAAAGCTACTAGATGTTACTGGTTATTTTAAACTGTTTTAAATTAGATTGGAAATCAGTGCCATATTATCACACAAAATATACGGTAGAGGAGGAAACACAGAAACACTTCCCTAAACTTACCGAAATGCGTTTGTTTCATAACAAAAATATGTATAAGGAGGAATGCGTATCCAATCTGGAAGAATGTTAGCATTTAACACTCTTTTCATCTTTGTGAAAACACTCCCCTTCTGGGACCTTGCCTAGAAAGAGAGATTTTGACAGGCTGACTTCTTCCAGGGAGATACTTCACGTCTAAACCCAGCTTTAGCTATGTGTCTTTTTCTTCTGAATAATAGCTAGTGTGTGATTTTGTGTTGGATTTTTGGTTTTGGTTTTGTTTTATTTTGTTTGGGTTTTTTTTAAGTGAAGGTCATGATTTGATTTTAGACAGGAAGACTGCACTATGTTATCTGGCACATTTAAATTCACCAGGAATTTGGTAGCTACACGTGTTTGGAGAGTCTGCTCACTTTTAACCTATAAACAAAGACAGAAACCCACCTTTATTTGTAAACCTATGCAATTGCAAAAGGTAACATGGAACAAAAAAAGAAAAAAGGGAAAAATCTCCTTTGTGCCATTTCCTCCCGTTTACAACACCATGAGATCAAAAAAAATAAATCGACAAACAGGAAGTTGCTTCGAAATTATAGCTCCTTCTATGGAAGCTGACATTCTTGGTTGCCTGCTCTCTTTGAAGAAGAATAATTGAACAGGCTCTAGTTACAGGGGCCAACTCTTTTGAAAGCAGAGCTCTCTAGGTGAAGGTTATTCTTTACTCAGGGGTTAATCAGGGACCTGGATTTCTGTCTCTATAGTACTGCTAGAAGGAAAGGACTGAAAACAAATTCCT